ACGTGAACGGCAGGATTCGAACCTGCGCGGGCAGAGCCCACATGATTTCTAGTCATGCCCGATAACCACTCCGGCACGTCCACCTTCTGAAATTTATTTTTACATTCATTTTAAATCACTGACACGTTAGCAGTAGTATTCCCTGATTACGAAACTGATTTTTATTTTTATTTTTTTTTTTTTTACACTTAAATAATTTTGTTCATAGACTCGCAATACAGTTTTGCTTTGATATTTCTGGTTCGACAAACTCACTGCTGCAAATCAAGTTGCTAACTTATCTTGTAGATCATTAACAGAACTAATAATTCTACTTTTTATTCAGTGGCCATGTTATTGAAAGTATCATATTTTTGCAGTAGATCACTGAGTAATAAGTGGTTTTTAAAATTTAAATAGTGATTCACTCTCGATCAATTCTTCGTTTCAACAAAATGACTAGAAAAAGTAAACCAAAAAGACTGCAAAGATCTTATACAATGGAATATTGGAGATCATGCAGCAAGGTGGAAAAGGAAACAAGAACTAATTTCTACCATTACTTTTCGTTCATTGCTACATCTAGATCATTAGCAAAGACAATTGTTGACCTGAAAATGGACATTGTATTTCTTAAAGCCAATTGTGAATTTTATTATCTAAATTTCTCTCGAGTTTTCTTCTTGATTTTAGTATTTTGAATCCAATATTTTTACATTCGAGGGAAAGAGTGATTGATCCTTTTTTTTTATTTTGGCCCATTGTGCAGTGGTCTTTGATTAAAACATGATAAATTATGATCAATTCAGTGAATTTCTACCTAAATTTGTGTAATTTAATTAATTGCATGTAAATTCTGGACTTGGATGCAATCGGCGCTAAAAGTGGCAATTTTGAGCTAATTTGGCGTTTGCTCAGAGTAATTAAAGACTAAACGAATGGTACAGGAAAGATAGCTATCGAAATAAAATCACAAGTTTCAGGAGTGAAATTCAATATTTGAAAAGTTTGTGGACTAAATTGTATACTCTTGGAACTTGCACATGACCTATTTCAAATGATTTTGGAGGTTCGAGGACCAACAAGATAGCTTTGGAAGTTGTAGGATCAACATTAAAGATATGGATTAATAGTGATTTAAGAATTTCAATGACAATGTATTTAGCAAAAAAAATAAAAAAATAAAAAAATCGCACATCAAACGAGCCAAGTGATTGAACTTAATCCCAAGTTGTTCGTAATTTGAGGTATGATTTTTCTCGTGAGTCGTGCTCCTTTCTCTTTTTATTTTTTATTTTTTTTATTTTTTATATTTAACTCATAAAAAGTTATCTGTATTACTTGTGACACAATGTCGCATGCATGTTATAATCCTTGTCTGTATTACTTGTTACACAATGTCGCATGCATGTTATAATCCTTGTCAAGGTTACGCTTCCATCGACTTGTGTGGACGGCAGAGTCCAATTATGTTTTAGGTGAATTTAAATATTTCTTTATTTTTTGCTATTTACTGTAAAAACAAAGTCACAGCAAATAATAATGACCAAAACATTGTCAATAATTTTAATATACACATCCATCTACTTGATTTGATTGTATTTTTGAGTAAAATACTAATAAATTATTTAAAAAGTATTTTATTAATTTCAGAAAACTATTCAATGAGTAAAAAATAATTGAAAAACCATTCTTACTAAGGTTATTTTACTTAGTCAAATTAAGTAACAATAAAAAAAAAATTGTTCTAATAATTACTTCTATTCTTGAATTTTTTTTAGTAATAAGTAAATTATTAAATTTGAATAATGCTGCTATTCATAGTTGTCGAATATAATAATTATCTTATGTGATTGTTTGTTATTTGAGACATTAATTTCCTATAATTCTGTTGCCTCAAATAAAAAACTAATTTTTCAAATAATAAATTGTTACATAGATTGACTATTGTAGGTACGGGCAATTGAGGAACAAAAATAAAAATACCTTAGGGATTTTTGGGGCATATTCAGATAACCCTTTAATTAATTTCCTCTTTTCTTTGTACCAATTTTCGTATTAGACAACTAAGTCCCATTCGTACAATACTAGATAATATATATCCAATAAATACTATAACAATTATACGTTATTATCCCGTAAAATATACAAATCTGGTCTCGATCAATTGGTCCCGTAGTTAGGTGTCAATTTTTAATGGTGGGAAAATAAAAAAGATGGCAACACTAAAACATTAAGCCTATGTTTAATGGGAATTAAAATCAGAAATTTTAATAGATTTTGATAAAATTGATTCAATGTGTAGTTAAAAAATTGTGAATTTTATGAAATATATGGCCTGTTTGAGCCACATTATTTCAAAAAAATGCATTCTTAAACAGTAATTTGATATCATTTCAACCACACATTCTTCAATAAAATAATATTACACGCAAATTAAAAAATTTTCATTATTTTTTAACCATACATTTATCATCAATACACTATTCAAGAATGCATTATTACCAAAACAATATTGCTCAAACACCCGCATATAATTAAAATTAATCATTAATTTTGATTTAAATTAAAATCTATATTTTAATCATACCAAAAGGATCTAAAATCTAAAATCGTACAAATATGAACTTAAATGGTAAATTAGTTACGACAGGTTAAAATTTAGGCTCCGACATCTTGAGTAATTTCTGTCATAGGAATCTACGAAACAGCCGCGGCATCATATCACTGTCCGAACGAAAGGCTTAAACCCCCAAATCAAAAAACACAAAGAATACGAGATTTGGGATGTAAGAGGTAGAGTCTTCAATTGTCGTGCATGCATTTCATTTTATGCACCTGTTTTTCATTTGCATGCACGCTTTCTCTCTCATCCTCTCTGTGCTTCTCTCTCTATACAGATATATCTCTATCTATCTGTACACTCATATCTATATCACTGCATCCTCTGTTTAATTTATTTTTAATTTAAACTCAGAACCACCACTATAAGGGCGGCCACCGACCGCCGCCTTTGGTTTTACTCTCTTTTAGATTTAGTCCACTGATAGACTATCTCATGGGTACGTGACGTTGTATAGATTTGAATAAGCTGGGTTTTTATGAAGCTAATCGCTTCACGATGTGGGATTAATTTTTTTGTGTAATCGGAATTTTTCTCGAAAAAATTTGATCTGGGTTTTGGTACGAGATTTCATTGGTGAATTTTTAGGGTTTTGATTTTTATTGTGTGTTGAATGTTTTAGAGTGATTTTGAGTAGAAGGTTCTGGGGTTTTTTTTTTTTTTTTTTTTGGGACAATTTTATGTTTCCCATAATGTGCATTTTCTATATTTAGGATCTTGTTTTGTTTTCTGCTTCAAATTTAGCAATTCCCAATTTTTCACATTTTTTCTTTTCCTTCATTTTTTTTTTTTTGGATTTTTTATTCTATTATCGTGTGCTTGTTAAGAGCTTTAATTTTATGAAGGATCTTGATAAATTAGTGGCCATTTGGTTAATCAGCTGAATGAAGATATTTGGACATGGGACAAAATAAGTTAAAAGGTTTAAGTTTGTAGTTTGAATTTGCGAAGTTTGTTTAATCAAAAGCTTTTCATATAATTATATCAATCTGTCTTGTTTCGTACTTTAGGTTTTTAATTCATACATATCAATCTCTGTCTGGTTAGGCTGGACAGGGGTCGAGTGCCATAATGTTCAAGTCTAACACTGGCCATGTTGTATATCTTTCTATGCTTCACGTTTAAGCTTAGTCATCACTCATCTAATGAGAATGGGATTGTGTAGTGAAAATGCGCAGAAATTGAAATGGAATTGAAGAACCATTCACTAATGATTCAAGAAAGAAAGCAAATGTCAAAAGAAAGAACAAACACAACCCTATGGATTTGATGAGGTTCAGATTGATCTAACTCTAAATGGAATAACAATTATTCGGCCGTAACTCTTATCCTTCCTTATTAGAAGCTTCCTCCCTAAAACAGGGAGCGGGGCTTATCTATTATTTATTGAAAAAGGGGATCTCTTTCCTGCCGAGATAGGCAAATTCCCATTGTGTTCCAGATCACATTCAATGGAATAAAAATTATTCAGCCGTTAGATCTTATCCTTCCTTATCAGAGAGGGCCCCCTTAGGGAGTAGGCTTATTTATCACCTATTAAAAAAGGGGGATCTCTTTCCTACCAAGACACACAAACTCCCATCACATCCTAGATCAAATTCCGTGAATCGAAAGAGGAAAAGTGTTTTTCAACAGCTTATGTTTT